TTTTTCCAAACGTTTATTTATTTTTGGGACAGAGAGAGACAGAGCATGAACGGGGGAGGGGCAGAGAGAGAGGGAGACACAGGATCGGAAACAGGCTCCAGGCTCCGAGCCATCAGCCCAGAGCCTGACGCGGGGCTCGAACTCACGGACCGTGAGATCGTGACCTGGCTGAAGTCGGACGCTTAACCGACTGCGCCACCCAGGCGCCCCAAAATGTGACATTTTTAAAGCTACTAATTTGTTTTAAATTCAAATATATTTCTTATGACTGGTTTTCTCTGTTTGGGTTTTCTCCCCCATTCAGAAATACACCGTTCTTAATTTTTAAATGGTAGCAATGGTGTATTAACTACCAGTACTGCTCCCTCTTTAGTTTCCTTTGAGCAATTTAATTTGTCTTTGGCGCCCTGCTAAACCTTAGGTTTGAATTGGGGCGAATCATAGCAATGCTTTCATCGAGGGGATGGTGCCTTGTGTAGATCCTTTCTTGAACCAGACCTTAATTTCATGATATTTCATAAGAGAGAGGAAAGCCTAATCCAAGGTAAATGAGGATTTATAATTCAGAAATGCTTCTGCCTATCGGCAACTGTAACTAACTTTCTACTGCTTTCCACTCCAGTTCCTTTACCCTTAAAAAAATAAGCAGTAAACTGTCTTAGTCTGGGCACAAGACAAAGGCTTCAGTGCACATAAACTGTGCGGGTCTGTAATCCAGGGAGCAAGAAAAGCCTATACAAAGATACCTGATGTGTTCAAGCGGTCGCTCGATGCTGCGGGACAGCCTGGGGAACCATAACAAAGAAACAGAAACCCCTGGAATGGAAAGACTGGCATTGGGCAAGGCTCAGTTGGGCAGGTGGCACCCGCAAGAAGCCAGCGGGAGCCCAGGAAGAAGTGGTGGCAGGGATGCAGGGACGCCAGATGAATCTGAAGTAGTAATCAGTGGCCTCCCATAATGCACAGATATATTCTTGTTGCACATACCTCTCTGTTGAAGTATATAAAGTAAAACATGAACTTTTGCTCCCTCTCTCCACCCTTTTCATGGATGCTTGTCATTAACATTTCATTTTCTGCGCATTTACATATCCTGTAAGAACATGTGCATACATCTTTTTATTTTAAAAAATCGTGAGTTGGGGAGGTCCCCTCTACTTGCTAGATGCTGCCCTGATTCATGAATCACTTAATAAAGCCAATTTGATCTTAAAAAAACAAACAAACATGAATCAGATCATACTAACCTCGTGCTCCGACAGGTTTTTGTTTGTTTGTTTTCACTCATGTATTACTTGCATCAGGGTTAGGTCTTACTACATTGTCAGGAAGTTGGTTTTGTCCTGTAGAGGTATACTGGAAAATACCAATAGAACATTTGTTGAGGGGTGCCGGGGTGGCTCCGTCGATTGAGCTTCCGACTTCAGCTCAGGTCATGATCTCGCGGTTCATGAGTTCGAGCCCCGTGTCGGGCTTGGTGCTGACAGCTCGGATTCTGTGTCTCCTTTTCTCTCTGCCCATCCCCCGCTTGTGCTCTGTCTCTCAAGAATAAATAAATCTAAAAAAGATTTTTTTTTTTTAAATAGAACATTTGTTGAATGAATGCATGAATGAAGGAATGATACTATGAGTTCTAGTTACAGTTCCTGCTTAGAGGACAGGAGTGGCTGCTAATATTGGGAATGCAGTGGGCGAGGTCTGGTAGAACATGAAATTGTCATTGCCAGACAATTGAACATCCCTGCCGGTCTCCTTCCCTTTCATCAACACCTCCACGTCCGCAGTTCAGAAGTAAGAATGGATGCTACACAGGGGAGACAGAAAAGAGATGTAGGGGAGGAAAAATAGTTTTCCCTCTACCCTTCTCAGTTCTTGGCTGAGACCCCAGGAATAAAAGATTAACAGGAGAAAAACAAGTTTACTGGCCTGCATCCCCCAGGTATACATGGGAAATACCCAGAGGAAAATGAGTAACTCCCCAAGGCGATTAGGAATTCAGGATTCTTCATAGGAAAGGGGGAGGAAGGAAGGAGGCTTCTTAGGGGGAGAGCAAATGGCTTAGGAAAGACGAACTAGCCCTCAGTAGAACAAATAGATAAGACAACATTTGTGACAACGTTTATCCGGGTGTGATGTTGACTTCTAGCCTCCTCTCCTGTGACAGGAGTCCATCCTTGCTGGTGGATGAAACTCCTGGGGAGGGGATTCATGGCCATTGAGTCCTTTCGGGGGACTGGTCTGTAGGCAGATAAGGGCAGTTCAGAGAAAGCCTCTCCCTCCATTTGCTACTTTTCACGTGCCTACTGCTCAACATAATCAATATACCGAAGTGGCGTATTTGGGCAGCATGTCTTGTCCCCCAGTCGTATTTTGGGGTGGCATTTCCTGCCACCCTTCAGAGACAAGGGAAAACTCTTTTAAAAATTCACTAAGTCAAATATTTTATCAGCCCCATGCTAAGTGGCGAGCCCTCCGGATAAAATGGAGAACATGACAGACTTGGTCCTTGTCCTCACACAGGGAAAGTCCACAGTTAAAGGAAGAAAGAAAGAAGAGTAGGGCATAGATGCAGAAAGAGAAGGGTAGGGTTCCAAAGGAGTGAGAAATTTCAGTGATGGCTAAATTAGTACAGTGCTTGTGTTAATATAAGTTGTTTAGAAAGGAGTTTAAATCCCAGCCATCTGCTCTCACGTCAAACACATACACACTGTACCCCCGATTTCACTCCTCCGTCCCATATATATACATCCCAATAATCATCTGCTGATATATTTTTCATGATTTCCCACAGTCAATAATAAAAAAATATACCTGATTCAAACCAGTGAATTGTGACCCAGCTCTAACTATGAATATAGTGGAAATCATAAGTTTCTTTACCGACAGTCTTACTAATTAAGTTATTTGCCTGTTTTTAGCCACATTGGTTATTTTTTTTCTTTTTGAGGTTGTTATGGATGTTGTTTGTAGCAGCATCAATAAGCCAAGAATTCACATACTCAGTCGCACAGATTACTCATCATTGCCTGTTCATAACAGAATCCTAAAATGTTTAAGATTTCTGATGCAAATCAAAATCTCATCATCACTTGTCATTGCTAAATTAAATGACAGGATAATAACATTACATTAAAACCATTTTTCTCTTGATTGAGTACCTTTTTCAGAAGTGAACCCTGTAGATGGATTTTTTTCATCAGTACTATAAATGCATTTAGAATAGGAGATAAAAATAGAATTGAAAGGGGAGGAGTGGAATAGAATGTTTTCAAATTATTGATGAGTCTCTTTTGAATCTCAAATAACCATATTTGACACTGCACTGCTTGGGAATGGAGTCATTTAGCCCAGTTTATTGAGATTTTTTAGAACCACATAAAGGAGGTGCACAGGTTGAACTTGGTCGTTCTCGACACAGTCACGTGTTCTTGGCATTAGCCATCAGTCATTCCATTGCAAACAGGTTGTTAGTGACCTGTAGGAATTGGCATTGTTCTGTTACTCTATAATTAGGAATGAGAACTGGTTTGAGAAAGATCACAGCCTAGGTGGGAAATGAATATAAATTGCAAATCTGCCAGGACAGAGTAGGTTCTCAATTGACTTGCTGTCGTGAACTGCTCTCTTGGCCTTTCTTTCCCATCGAAAGCTAATTAACCTTTTTGGTCACACCTGCCATCCTCCCATCTGGTCCGTCTAGCCCACCTCTCTGTGGCCACCCGGTCCTCATGCCACTGGTGCCCATCTTCTTCACTTGCCCTTATACCAAGGGCTCTTTCCATTCTCAAGTCTTCTGTCCTTCAAAGATTTGTTTCTTCACATTTTCCACTTTGATGTTACGAAAATCATATCCTGGAGAAAACCTTTTACCCTGACTTTTTGTCTCCTTTAGTACTACCCTCATTAGGCAGTAACAGGTCAGTAAAAAAAATCCTTAGCTCTTGGAGAAGTCCCTAAAAATGCAGACGGAAACAAGATTGGCTAGGAGTTGACACTAGTTGAATCTGGGTGATGAGTGCATGGGGGTAGAGAAGTTAATATACTGTTTTCTCTAGTTTTGTATGTTTGAAATTTCCTATAGTAAAAATTTTAAACTAGGTTCTTTAGACTCCGTTTTTTGTTTGTTTTTTTTTAATAGATGCTATTTTTGAGTCAGTACATGAAATGGGCGGTAAACAGGAGGGACTGGGGCTAACACCTGATCCTGTCACTGAAATGCCCCACTCCCACCCCACCTGCAAGGAAACAAGTGTGATTCCTTAGTGCCTAGAATTGGAACTTCCTCCTTCTCCGTAGGTCCTGAACATGGGTACCAGAATCCTGCTACACTTCCTACCTCTTGTTAAAGTGACCAGATCAATCTGTACAGAAACACACATTAACTTGGTCTCATTTATCAAGTCCCATGGTGAATTAAGGTCTGTGCTGGGGGCACGGAGAAGCAGGAATCTGAAGTTACCTCCCTCCAAAAGCTCCCCATCATGGAAAACAAAGGCACCTACGAACACCCCTGATGCAGTACAGACACTAGGAACTGTCATCTGAAGTGGAGCTTCAGTAGCGTGGCTGTGGGGCTGTAGGGAAGTAAAGAATCCCATCAGCAGATGCGTTCTAGAAGGTGATGCCAACCACTGAGTGCTATCGCTTTTTTATGTTTGTTTATTTTTGAGAGAGAAAGACAGAGGGAGGGCAAGCCAGGGGAGGGGCAGGGAGAGAGGGAGACAGAGGATCCGAAGCGGGCTCTGCGCTGACAGCAGAGAACCCGGTGTGGGTCTTGAACTCATGAACCATGAGATCATGACGTGAGCTGAAGTCAGACGCCGAACCGACTGAGCCACCCAGGCGCCCTGAATGTTACCTTAAAGGAAAAGATCATCTCTGCTTCTGATTGCTAAGACTAGAGCTCCTTCAGAGAACCTTCCTTCTCTCTTCTGAAGAACTTAAAGTGATTGCAGTTACCAATGTGCCTTTTTTTTCCTTCTCTTTTTAAATTATGATAGCCTTACTTCTCGTTTGCCCAAAACTGGTGAAACCATTCATGGACATAAGTTTTTTATTGGCTTTGGAGGGAAAGGTGCCAACCAGTGTGTCCAAGCTGCTAGGCTCGGAGCAAAGACATCCATGGTATGCAAGGTAAGTGTAGACTACAGTGGAGAGGCTCCTAGAGGCAAGAGTCTGTTTTTAAGATTTGAGTTGTTTTTATTTTTTAACCGTTTGAAAGTGAACAATTCAGTGCCATTTGGTACATTCCCAGTGTTGTTGGACAACCACTATTCTCTTTAGTTCCAGAACAATTCTATCATTCCAAAGTAAAGTTCCTTACCATTAAGCAGTTTCTCCCCATCCCCCCCCCACCCCACTCCCACCCCCAGACCCTCACAACCACCATCTGTCTCTGTGGATTTATCTATTTGGATATTTCCTAGAAATGGAATCCTAGGATACGCAACATTTTGTGTCTGGCTTATTTCACCTAATGTAATATTTTCAAAGTCCATCTACCTTATAGCATGTACTATTTTTTTTTCCTTTTGTGGCGGAATAATATCCCATTGTACATACCATTATCTGTCTATCCATTTGTCTGTGGATGGACACTTGAGCTGTTTCCACCTCTTGACTATTGTGAATATGCTGCTGGAAACATGCATTTACATGTACTTGCTTTTGAGTATCTGGTTTGTTCTTTTTTTTTTTGGTAGTTCCTTGTTAAAGATTTAAATAGGAGAGGATAATCTTCCTTGTCCTTTAGATTGCTTTCTACCTCAGTGTGTCCTCTGGCAAGTAGCAGTCCTCAAATAACTTAATTATGCACGTCTTTCACTTGCTGGGCTTCCAAGTGAAGGATGAGAAGTGAGAGGAATTCGCCTGCCCCACTGAGTTTCTGTATGCCAGCTTCTGAACGACAGAAGTTAATCCTGCTTTTAGCAGTTTTCGCTGCAACACAGCTCTTGGAAAGTCGGTGTAATAACTTGTGATTCACTCGTATAGCTCTTAAGTTATTTCTTCTAATGCTAGCCCTTGGATCAGAAAGGAATCTGGGCTTTACTGAACTACCCATAACTAATTTTTAGGCATAATTCTTTTTGCAGGAATATAAGGAAATGATATGTAAAATATCCCCTATTTCTATCCATCTGTCTGAAATTATTTGAAAATAAGACAAAATTGGCTGCCAGAGGTTCAATGTTTGCATGTTTAATGAAATTTTAAGGTGCTTGCATCACTGGTGTAACAAAAAAGATAATTTACTTTAGAAAAGCTAGCCTCGGTCTACACAGTAAAAGATAAGAGGAATCTGAGAAATTTAAAAGAATGAGCCCTCTCCTGTAGGCTGGGTCATTTTTACCAAAATGTCTCTGAAATGTCACTTCCCAGTGCACACAGCACTCTTCTCTCCATGGGAGTCTTTAAATGATGTACAAACGATAAGCAATTATCATTTCATCTGCTAATGAATTGCAGTTTTATTTCTAATTTATGATTAACACAATATAATTCTCATCTGGCTGTTTGGTCAAAAACATCACATGAAGCGCAGGATTCAAAGTAAGAAACCCTCGTTTGCTAAGGTTGAACTCTTGATAGATTTTAAGTGTCAATCATCCATGAATTATTGATGACCCATTACATGCTAGGAATTGTGCGGCGAGGAGAGGGAGCTGTAGGCCTGACCTCTCCTGTACTTGATTAGAAATGAAGGGTTTGGGGAGTCATCAGATGGTGCTGACTTAACGGGGGCTTGGGAACTGGAAAGAGGACAATATCTCCTGGCTGGGAAAACGTGGACAGAGAGTGGGTATGGGAAGCAAAGTACCAAAAATGGCTGCTCTGGGAAGAGAGGAGTTCCCTAGAGCGGAGCCGTAAAAGGAGAGATTAGAGAACCCCTCTTGGAAGCTTCATAAATGCTATTCATGTAGCCATGAAAGTCAAAATTGGATGTCCCCTGGGATCTCATCCAACTCGAAGATTGAGATTGGTGTTATTTTGGGTCTGTTGAATTTGAGGCAAAGAGAAACGCAAAATAGAAATATTTGAGTTGTGGAAGTGAACTTGGGAAGTGAATCATGCAACCATCAGGAGTGGATGTGAGAGGAATAGACAGCAGAGGGCTGTATTTGGGGAAATGTTACAGTTAGGAGTTTGATAAAGCAGTGGTGCTGTTTTATTCCAGTCCGTGTATGACAGTTTGTGTTAACACCTGTGCAGTTTGGAAAGTGCTTTATATCTACTGTGCCCCTGATGCAGTCATCTGCTGTCCAGCCCCGTGCAAGGCTTCAGCATGGGTATCTGTACAGAGAGGATAAGAAAGCATGGCTTCAGCCAAAACCCATACGGGGTGCCTTTGCTTAGATAACCTGGAACCTTTAGACACATATTTCTTTAGCTTAATGTTCTTAGACTTCTTTATATATCTGTAGATGTCTATAGATATATGTAGATAGATAGGTGATGTATTTCATATAGGTATAGATATGGATATAGATATATATATAGATATAGACATTTTTTTAAGTAGATTTCATGCCCAGCGTGGAGCCCAACGTGGGGCTTGAACTCACAACTCTGAGATCAAGACCTGAGCTGAGACCAAGAGTCAGACACTTAACTGACTTTGCAGTATTCTTAGACCTGTTAAAGAGAAAAATATCTTAGGGGTGCCTGGGTGGGTCAGTTGGTTGGGCATCCAACTTCAACTCAGGTCATGATCTCACAGCTTGTGGGTTTGAGCCCTTCCTCAAGCTCTGTGCTGACAGCTCAGAGCCTGAAGCCTGCTTTGGTCCCTGTGTCTCCATCTCTCTCTCTGCCCCTCCCCTGCTCGTGCTCTTTCTCTTAAAAATAAACAAACATTAAAAAAAATTTTTTTTAAGAAAAATTGGTGCGCCTGGGTGGCTCAGTCGGTTAAGTGTCCAACTTCAGCTCAGGTCATAATCTCACAGTTCGTGAATTCGAGCCCCACATCAGGCTCTGTGCTGACAGCTCAGAGCCTGGAGCCTGCTTCAGATTCTGTGCCTCCCTGTCTCTGTGCCCCTTCCCCGCTCACGCTATGTCTGTCTGTCTGTCTGTCTCTCTCTCTCTCTCTCAAAAATAAACATTAAAAAAAATTTTTTTAAGAAAAATATCTTTTATAGTAGAAGGTATCATTATCCATTAATCTTGATATTTTTTCCCATTGGTGAAGTATTTTCTTATTAAGTAAATTAGCCAACCTGCTGTATAGCAGTTTTTTAAAGATGACGACTTTCAAGTGGAAACCAAAATCATGACATTACTCCAGATAAAAATGAACAGATGGAGCAAAAGAAAAACAGGTAGAAAATTTCCTACAGTTTTCTTAGCGACATTAACTTACCTACTACTACCCTGCAACAAACTAAAATTCAAGCTCTGGTGAAGTAAGACTGATGGCACATGCAAAACATCTTCTTTTGAGCTCAGGGGAATTATTTGCCAAGATACTGTGATGAGGACTATTAAGCAAGAGTCCATCGATATGTATCCAGGGCAACGTGTAATAATGAAACACTTCAAGTTGTTAAGAGTTGTACAGTCAGTACTCAACTGAGTCGTGGGCCCAAGGCCACAGTCAAAGGATAACTGGAAATGATATTTTCAGATTAAAAATCTAGGCAGATATCATAGAAAACGAAAGTCTTCTTGGCAGGGCAAAGAGTCTGTTAGAATACCTTTCATAATACCTGATTTTTGTGTTTCCTCTTCCACCATTCCATTGAAGATAAATGTTGGAGGAGGAAGTTGTTTCTAGATATCCAAAACTGGCTGCTAGGGAGGACCTTGGGAGAATAAAGAGTTCAAGTTGTGGTTGCCTGGAATGAGCCCAAAGACCCTGCTTCTTGTGCGGTGGAAAGGAACCCTGAGCAGGCAAGGACCCAAATAACCCCGATCTCAAATCAGCCAACTGGGAGGACCCTCAAGGACCCTGGTCTTGCTTTCCTCAAACATGACATTATCAAAACTCACTAGGTCCATCTGGCTGGCTGATTTGGTAGAGCATGTGACTCTTGATCTTGGTGTCATGACTTCAAGCCCCACATTGGGCATAATGCTTACTTAAAAAAAAAAAAAAAAGACAGGGCACCTGGGTAGCTCAGTCAGTTGAGCGCTGACTTCAGTTCAGGTCATGATCTCACAGTTTGTGAGTTCAAGCCCCACATCGGGCTCTGTGCTGACAGCTCAGAGCCTACAGCCTACTTCAGATCCTGTGTCTCCCTCTCTCTCTGCCCCTCCCCAACTCACGCTCTCTCTCTCTCCCTCAAAAAGAAAATAAATATTAAAAAAAATTTAATGAAAATAAAAAGGTAAAAGAAAAAAAAAAACTAATAAAAACAGCTGTGTGTTTTCCCTGAGGAATGGGCAGATATTAAGCTCTGTGACAGAAGCAGTATATTAGAGCCACGCATTCAAGGTCTGACCCTCAGGCATTCTGCAAACTGTCAGTGGTCTGGACATTACAGAAATTGAGAATAAGCAATTAGAAATATTTATAGCAATTTTACAGAGGAATTTTATAGCTGTTGAATATAATAGTAATAATAAATTAAGCCTTGTATTTTGTAGGATTTTTTTCTGTTTTTATTTGTTATATTTTATGGAATTATTAGTCCACAATGGATTGAAAATGAAAAAAGAAAAAAAAAACTGAGCCTTCACTACAGATGGTTTGAAAAGCAGTATATTAGAGTACTCATCATCTTAACCAAAAAGGTGCCTTGTCAGTTAGATTACTGTGGGACAGTCAACTGTGCAGTAAGATTTAGTTTTCAAAGATCAAAAATTAGTCACCATCCCTTTCCAAGTAATCCCATTCCAGGAATGAAGTGAAATTTATCCTTTCCTGAGCTCTGCTGTAGGACAACTGGCTAGAACTAATGGTTATATTGATTGGAATGCTTGGCCACATGTCCAAACACAGGGTACCCTATGACCCTAACCAAATAATGTGTGTCTCGTATAGGAAGAATGGAAGAAATAATTGGGTTACCACCAACTCACCTCCACTCTTGGATAAGCAGGCCTCGCAATACTGATTGTAGCATTAATTTTGTATGTTAAGGGCCATTATGAAGCTAAACACCCATTTAGATAGGATTTAAACCACCAGCTAGCTTAAA